TTGTTTTCAATATAAAATTTATTTGAATAATTATTTATGGTTTTTAATCATTAATCATGTTTAAATTTTTTATATTTTTCATAATTATAGTTTTTGGTGTTTTTATACTTTTTATAATCATATACTAAATTTATTTTGGTAAATTTTGGTTTAACCGCTACTGTACCCGCTGATCAACCAGTCGTAAATCTCCTGCAAACGTATTCGTTTTTAACCGCTAAACCAGTCGGTCAAAATGCTAAATAATGCTTGAAACCGCAACCGTCCGTTTCCGCAAACTCCCACAACCGCAACCGCTACGTTTAAACCAGTCAAGCCCTTACTTGTAATGTTTACCCTTTGGATAAAATTGGATACAAATCGAATTAGTTAAGAACTATTGCAATAAAATATTATAAGATTTATTAAGCGTTATCATAGATCTTAATGAATAACTAAAAATCATTTGAGTAACGTTCTATACTCCTATAACAAACAAACAAACAAATTTCTTAGCCTTTTACGCCTCTTCAACATATAAATCAAGTATGCATATGGAACATTAAAATCAAAGATGATCATTCCATATAACATATTTTCAAGTATCTAAGTCATGAGTTCTATACAGCTATGGCATGTCCATATATATATATATATAAGTCCGATCGAATCAAATATCATAACTTTTGTCAAAATATAAAAGCTCAACGATTTCATCGACGATATATTCAAATCGGAGAAAACAAAAACGGAAACTTGAGAAAAAAATAAGAGGAAAGAAAGATATTTACTTGTGGGCACTGAATTCAGATTCCAATTACATCAATCGCTGAGAAAAAGACGTAGGAGATTTAGAGTTCGATTGCGGAACACCGCCATAGCTCCCCCGCACTCCGGTGATAGAAACTCTTTTAGACATACAGTGAAACAATCGTCTCTTATTGGGTGCCATTAGTGAAAGTCTTTCAGATATGAAAGCAAAGGTCTTCCTTTTTTTTTCCTCTCCGTTTAACTGTTTATCTAATCTATCTCTCTCCTTTGTTCATCTGTTTTTCCAGAAAAAAATGATCGTTTTCGGACTTTTTCAGGATACAAATTTTATCTGAATACTAAAATTGATTTACGGTTTGGTCTCAGTTTAACATTCAAATTTGATTTGGTTCTTTTTTGCCTTCAAATTATTTAATTATTAAATATTTAATTAAAATCATTTCTCCAATTTAAATTTCTTCAATATTAAAAAAAATCATTTAAAAATATCCCGCGGCGGAGCGCGGGTTTCAACCTAGTATATTTAAAAGACCTTGTAAGGGTTAGTTTACTTCTCACCGACTTTGATCACTTGTTTATAAATAAGCTCAGTGTTATACCAAAAACAGAAAATAAGAAACTACACCAAACACAAAGAACAAAAAGAAAGTAACAAAAATTGTTCTTTGTAGGTAAAAATGATGATGATGGGCGATTCATTTGGAAGTATTAAGTATAGGCTCACTTAATCTTCCCTGACCACTTGAAGATCACAATCAAAGAGTTTCTCTTGTCTTCATTCCAACAACTCGGTTTTGCTCAAAGAGTTTCCGACCATTTCACCAACCTCTTCTCTCCTTATGTCGAAATCCACTTTCCGGAAAGCGATGAATTCAGTTTCAACCAAGCTTTCTCGGCCATCGAGACCTACCTTGACTCAAAATCAACCGACAAGTCCAAACATCTTAGAGGAAGCCAAGTGAAAGAAAGCAAAGGTTTGGTATTGAAACGAAACGAGGCTAAAGTCAGAGATGAATACCAAGGAGCTAATGTCTGGTGGGAGATTGTGGTTGATAAAGATGGAAACCGATATTATAAGCTCACTTTTCACAACCGTGCAAGGAGCCTTATAACCAATTCATACATAAAATATGTGGTTGAAGAAGGGAAATCGATTATAGTCAAGAACAAGCAAACAAGGCTTTTCACGAATAACCTGAGTTCTCAATGGGTTTTTGGCCAGAATATGTGGAGATCTATTGAATTTGAGCACCCCGCGAGTTTTCAGACACTAGCTATGGATCCAAAGAAGAAAGAAGAGATCGTTAATGACCTCATCGCCTTTAGCAATGGAAAGGAGTATTACAAGAAGATTGGGAAAGCTTGGAAGAGAGGTTATTTGTTGTATGGACCACCAGGAACCGGTAAGTCCACCATGATCTCTGCCATGGCTAATCTTCTAAACTATAACATATATGATCTCGAACTCACGGCGGTCAAGAACAACTCGGAGTTGAAAAAACTGCTTACAGCAACATCCAGCAAGTCCATTATTGTGATTGAAGACATAGATTGCTCAGCAGACTTCACAAGTAACAGAATCAAGAAAGAGAACAATATGATGAAAAAGAATGGAGAAGAAGGTAAAGACGAAACCTCGGTTACTCTCTCAGGGCTTCTCAACTTCATTGATGGTATTTGGTCAGCTTGTGGACAAGAAAGGATTGTTGTATTCACAACAAACCACTTGGAAAAGCTTGACCCGGCTTTGATTAGGAGAGGAAGAATGGATATGCACATTGAGTTGTCGTACTGCACTTACGAAGCGTTCAAGATTCTTGCCAAGAATTACCTTGATCTTGATGGAGATGATGCTCATCCCTTGTTCAGCGAAATCAAGGCTTTGTTGGAGGAGACAATGATTTCTCCAGCTGATGTTGCAGAAAATCTTATGGCCAGAAACCAACTAATCGACGTTGATAAATCCCTAAACCTTCTAATCAGCGTTCTAGAGGAAGAGAACCAGTATCAGAGAAGCCAACAAGAGAAGAAGAAAAGCAAGAAGTTCAAAATATTTGGTTGATGATTATTATTTAGCTCAATTTGATTTGATGAACTTAAACCATATTTTCTTTTTCTTTTACTAAGTAATTCTACTATGTATGCAAATGTTATTTCCCTTCTCTAATAATAAAAGAACATAAAAACTGAAAAGTAAGAAGATGCAACTTCGTGAATTTAGGAGTTGAAAGAAAGAAACTAAATTAATAAGCAGAGTACAAAGTTTTTACAAAGGGAACACTTTAAATCACAAAATTCCAATATTATAGTTCTGTGAAAATGATGACAAAAAAAAGTTCTGTGAAAATGTGAGAACTACAACAATACCTTAAGGCATGCTGTGTCTTATGTTGAGCAACAAGACAATTAGACAAGGCTCCTACTTGGAGTGCAAGGCTTCCCTGCTCTGCCTCTTCAGAGTCTCCAAATGTGTTTTCGGTTTTGGTCAACCTCGTTCTCTTTTTTTGCTTCATTCTTCTTGTTTATACACTAAAAAAATCTTGTGCTTAGATTTTGTGACAAGAAAAAAAGATTATCTAAAATAACGGCCTTCACATTAAACGTTACACTAATGACTAATGAAACAAAATCAATTTTATGTAGGAAAGAGTAACGATATCATTAAATCAACCCCAAAAAAAAACAACTTAATTTATTTATAAATTAAATATTACAACGTCCCATTATCGATTTGCTATTTGATTCTAAAAATTTCACAACTAATTAACTGGAGTAATTCATAAAAAGAAAAAAACCAAACAAGAATAAGCGATACATCTCAAAATATAAATCATTAGAATTAGATACTTGTACTGGGTTCAATCTTTTTTGGTGTTTGGCTTGTGCAGAACTTAAGACATCCAGCTAGTAACAAGACGATGACCAGCATAGCAACCACAATTCCCACAAATTCGAGGCGGTAGTCCATATTGTTTCTTCACCACACACTCCAAAATATGTTCTTTCTAACCTTTTAATCGTGTTTTTATTGTCTCTTTCTTTCGTGGATGCAAATTGTATGATTTGTCTATACAAAATTTAACTAAGAAAATGGAAAATTTACATTTAGTCAATAAGGAATCTTAACTAGGAAAAAAACGAAATTTTACCTTTTAAGGATGCTATATTAATTCGTCATGCATGTAGTTTTCTATTAAATGACCAGAACGCATTTATCACAATAATTTCTAAGCTTCACTTGAATCGATGTAAGTTTTAGGGGTCTTATTCCGTTATTGAATGAGCCCGTTTTTAGCTTAAATCGAGGTAATTTCTAAACTCAGTAACTCACTCATCAACCATGTCTATATTTTTTTCCATCAGAAACTTAAATAGTTTATTATTATTAATGAATGAGTTTTTGAGTATATCATCACTACTCAAAATCGTATCATACATAGTTGAATTAGTGTGTACTACATTTGGTTGAAAGAGCTATTCCTAAATAATTTTTATACAATAAATTCACATTTATTACATAAAGCTAAATAATCATAATTCAAATTTAAAAATTAAAATTTATTTATCTAAAAATTCATCGTTAATAAAATAATTCATAAAACAAAAAAATCAAACAAAGAATAAGCAATACATCATAAATTCATAATATAAATAATTAAACACTAGAAATGGGTTCAATCTTTGTTGATGTTTGGCATTTGCAGGACCTAACACATCCAGCTACTAACATGACGTTGAGCAAGATAGCGCCGGCAAGTTCAATGGGGTTCATATATAATGTTTCTTCACCACACACTCCAAATTTTGTTTCTAACCTTTTCATCGTGTTTTTCTTTGTGTGCAAAATATACTTATATATATATATATATATATACATACATGTATTGTGAACACAAAAGTTTACATTTTTGTAAATTAATCGATGAAATTTGTAATGTTTACAATTTGTTAACTAGGAAAAACTGGAAATTTTACATTTAGTCATTAAGGAGTATTAATTAGGTAAAAAATAGAAATCTTATATAACGATTTAAACCTAGTTAAGATAATATAAATTGAAACAATGTGAAATCAAATGGTTGACTGATTAATTATCATGTATATGTAATGATGAAAGCTTTGCCTACCAACTTAAGCATAAAGATTTAGAGTTGTTTGAGAAATAGATCAAACGTATATTGAATTGAAACCTACAGCCTAAGAGGATATAAGGATTCTGCTGGAAGAATATATTTTGAAATTAAATTGGTAATTTACGATGGACTATATTTAAAATTCTAAATCTGGAAAACAGATAAACACACTCTTGAAACTTTTCTTTTATTGATTGTAAAAATGCAACTTTAATTTGTTATGTTGATGTTTCACAAAGTGCTCATCATATGCATAAGGTTACAATTAGGAAGTTGTAATCATTTCCTCCTCTAAGAATCTCCTACCCCAAGAAAATCAATGTACTTCAGGGGGACATTAGTCTTAAAATAACTAGCTTCCATTGTATCTTTTGCTTCTGATGGTAATGATGATGATGGTTTGATGAGGTTATTGGTTTCCTCTTTTGTTTGCTTCTTCGACGTTTTTCTCATTAGTTGGTGCCAATGATTTTTCACGGCATTGGCAGTTCTTCTATGGAGAAGCTTAGCAATCTTAGACCACTTGTTCCCCAATTCTCTTTGAGCTGAAAGTATCTTTGCCTCTTCTTCATCATTGAAAGCTGTCTTGTTGATCCTTGGATCAAGCTGATTAATCCATCTGAATCTGCAACTCTTACCTTCCAATACATAATAAGAAGAATATGATTTAACTTTCGAATGAAACAAAGAGTGAGTACCAAAAATGAAAGCATTTTTTACCTGATTTTACTTGCATTTTCTCTGCAATATGATTCCATCTTCTAGGACCATAAGTAGCCACTAGCCTTTTAAGTTTCAAATCCTCTGAAGGTGTCCAATACTTCTTCTTGGGCCTCTCATGATGCATACCTCTCACTAATGCATTGTTTTCTCCAAAATCATTAGATGAGGGTCTCTGCGGTGCAACGTCAAAATGGTATTTTGGGACACATGAGTCTAAAAATGTGTGATATTCGGATGATAACTCTATTCATATATAGTATAAAAATGCTGATTTCTCTGAGGAGAGAAAAGAATATAAGAGGGACTGGAAAGAGAAAAAAATACTAGGGTATTTAAAAATGAATATGATTAAAATGTTCCAAAATATTTGTAATAAATAAGTTGAAAAATATTATATGAATATTTTTGTATTATTTTATTCATATTTTTGTAATTTAATGTTATTATTTGTAGCTATTTTTCCATGGACCCGTACATAATCCTGATATCACGATTAAAATATCCTAAAACTTTCAGGTTTCCAATCTGCTTATGTCCCAAGTTATAGAGTTAAGATTCAATATAAAATATTAAGTGTATCAGGAAGGTAAACTTTATTTTAAAATATTATAATGTTTTTATAAGGACTATGATAAATATGTTCTAAACTATATTTATTAAAATTCTATTGAAAATAAGAATATTTTTGTGATTTAATGTTATTATTTTTAGCTATTTTCATAGATCCATACATGATCTATATGTACTTGTGAGTATATGAGAGATCAATATATGAATAATGTTTTTTTTAAAACAAAACATCAAAAAAGAGTATATGTAATATAAATTAATAAATATAACTATTATCTATTTTGTAATATTTATTACTCTGCTAATAGAAATTGTAGAAGAAGAAAAACATTGATGATTAAGTATTTAATAACATGATTACCGGTCAAATTCTTAGAAAGATATAATGCATTAATTTATACCTTGAATGCTTGCAAAGTAGACTCCATTGGAGCGACACTTGAATCCCGGTATGATCAAGTTAACTAAAAATGCGGCGCCGCCAAACTGTGAACTAACAGATGAAAAACGACTAACATATATAGTATTTCGTGTTCTTAGTTCTCTACCTTATGGAGGAAATGATTTTATTTAGTCATCTACCATATACTAGTGATAAATGCTTTAATAGTTTTGACTACATTGTTAGGTATGTATATTAACTCTCTAAAATAATATTTAAGTGCATGATGAACTTTCAACATTATTTTGGACTCATTTTTTGGTAGTTTTGTAAAGACGGGTTGTTGAAAATTGAACTGAAAAAAGATTTGTTTGACTATAGTTTCAGTTTTAGTTATATTATTTAGTTCTAAGTTGTTTTCAGGTTTGGAAGAAAATTATACAGTTTATTATAAGACTAACAATTAAAAATAATGTTCTTACTATGCTTTAGATCATAAAAATGGTAGATTTAATTAAAATTATATCTATATATTACAAGTCTATTTGTACATACAAAACACATAATTTCCTATAAAATTATAACTTTATTTTCTAATTTGTGAATTTGTTCAAGAGAGAATTTCATTGTTAAGAAAAAAGTCAATCGTCATTTGTATCAATAATTTTGAAAAATTGTAACCAAATATATTTAATCAAAATGGTTCAGTAAAATCCAAACTCGTATATGATCTACAAAAAAGCATCCAAAATGTAGTAACAAATAAAACAAAGACACCACATTTACCTGTTCTTCCTTGCATACTTTCTACAATGTACTTCTAGTTCCGAGTACTGAAAACGGCTCTTTGAGCTTGATATCCGATCCTTTGAAGGTTTCCAATGACCTTTACTAAGTTGGTTTATAATTGATTTTGGCCATATATTATAACTAATAATTATGTAAGCGATCATGTAAATTGAAAAGGTGTGTGTGTTAATATTAATTTATTGGATAAAAATGGATAGTTATTCAATTATGAAAAGTTATTTTAATCTTTTGAAGCTAGAAAATAGATGAACAAACACTATTGAAACTTTTATGTTATTGATAGTAAATGCAACCTTGTCATGTTAATGTTTCACAGGGGACTCATCATATGCATATATAAGGTTCCAATTAGGAAGTTGCCTCTAATTCAGGGGCACATTAGTCTTAAGATAACTAGCTTCCATTGTATCTTTTGCTTCTGATGGTGATGATGATGATGATGGTTTGAGGTTAGTGGCTTCATCTTTTGTTTGCTTCTTCAACTTTTTTGTGTTAAGGTGGCGCCATTGATTTCTCACGGCAATGTCAGTTCTTCTATGGAGAAGCTTAGCAATCTTAGTCCACTGGTTCCCCAATTCTCTTTGAGCTGAAAGTATCTTTGCGTCTTCTTCATCAGTGAAAGCTGTCTTGTTGATCCTTGGATCTACCTTATTAAGCCATCTAATTCTACAACTCCTACCTTCCAATACATAATAAGAAGAATATGATTTTAACTCTCGAAGAAAAACAAAGAGTGAGTAGCAAAAATGAAAGCACATTTTTTTACCTGTTCTTCCTTGCATTTTTTCAGCAAGACGGTTCCATCTTCTAGCACCATAAGTAGCCACGAGCTCTGTAAGTTTCAAATCCTCTGAAGGTGTCCAAAACTTCTTCTCCTGCTTCTCATGATGCATCCCTCTCACTAATGCATTGTTTTCTCCAAAATCATTAGATGAAGGTCTCTACAATGCAACGTCAAAATGGTATTTTGGGGAACATGAGTCTAAAAGTGTGTGATATTCGGGTGATAACTCTATTCATAGTATAAAAATTCATAATTCTAAAAAGGGAACTATGAGGTGAGGAGAGAAAAGAATATGAGAAGGAGTGGAAAGAGAAAAAAAAAAACTAGAGTAATTTCAAATGGATATGATATATATGTGTCAGAATATTAAAAAAAATAAGTTGAAAAATATTATATGAATATTTTAGTATTATTTTTTTCTCATATTTTTGTAATTTAATGTTATTATATTTTGCTATTTTTCCATGGATCCGTACATAATCCAGATATATGAGTAATTATTTCTTGGATCTTAATCCAAATATCCTAAAATTTTCAGGTTTCCGATTTGCTTCTGACCCAAGTTATATAGTGAAAATGAGCAATATAAAATATTTAAGTATATCAGCAAAATATACTTTAAAATATTATAGTGTCGTTTATAAGGACTATGATAAGTATGTTCTAAAATATATTTATTAAAATTAATATGAAAATACGAATATTTTAGTATAATTTGGTAATTTATTTTTATTATTTTTAGCTATTTTCATAGATCCATACATGATCTATATACTAGTGAGCATATAGGGGATCCATATGGATAATATTTATTTTTAAAAACAAAACATCAAAAAAAATTCTATGTAATACAAATATAACGTTTATTATCTATTTTTACGATATTTTATTACTCTGCTAATAGAAAATTATCAATAGAGAGAAAAATATTGATGATTTAGTATTTGATAACATGATTACCGATCAAATTAATTAGAAAGATATGACGTATTAATGTATACCTTGAATGCTTGAAAAGTAGACTCCATTGGAGTGACACTTGAATCCCAGTATGATCAAGTTAAGTAAAAATGCGGCGCCGCCAAACTGTGAGCTAACAGATGAAAAACGACTAATATATATAGTATATCGTGTTCTTAATTCTCTACCTTATGGAGAAAATGTTTTTATTTAATCATCTACCATATACATTAATAGTGATAAATGCTTTAATAGTTTTGACTACATTGTTAGGTATCTATATTAACTCTCTAAAATAATTTGTAAGTGATGAACTTTCAACATTATTTTTGACTCATTTTTTTGGTAGTTTTGTAAAGACGGGTTGTTGAAGATTGAATTGAAAAAAAGATTTGTTTGACTATAGTTTCAGTTTTAGTTATATTATTTAATTCTAAGTTGTTTTCAGGTTTAGAAGAAAAATTATACAGTTTATTTAAGACTTAAAAATTAAAAATAATGTTCTTAATTTTTTTTAGATCATGAAAATGGTAGATTTAATTAAAATTATATCTATATATTAGAAGTCTATTTTTACATACAAAACACATAATTTCCTATAAAAATTATAACTTTATTTTTTAATTTATGAATTTGTTCAATATAGAATTTCATTGTTAAGAAAAAAGTCGATTATCATTTGTAATAAATTAGAAAATAATTGTAACACAATAACATAAACTCGTACATGATCTACAAAAATAGCATCGTACAAACAAAATTCATCAGTAGCACTGTGAGTTAAACTTCTGAAAAATATTTTAAAAATATTTTCCTAGCAAAATATGTTAAATTAATAAGGTCCAGTAACCCAAACTTGTACATGATCTACAAAAATAGATTTATAAAAACAAAACCTAGTACTATGAGTTAATCTTTGAAAATTAGGTTTAAGAAGCCATGATAACATGACAACAAAATTCTTAGCAATTTATTATAGGTTTAAGTTAAACAATCTACTAGCATTATGTGTTGTAGCGTAGAAAGATCGAATTTATTCTACTTTTATGTGTTATATTTTAGATTCATTGAAATTTTTTCTTTAACCTATAGAAAGTAAAGTCTTAAAAAGAAAAAAATTGTGGAGTCTCCTTTGTCCTAATGGTTAATGGTTTTAAAACTTTACACTAGGTCTAATTGTATGTTGGAAAAAGACAATGTTCATCGAAAGTTGTATATATAGAACCGTCAATTGTGTATCCAAGTGTTGCAGGAATACTGCATCTTAAAATCGTTGTTTGTAAAAGCTGTTTATTGTAATCATATATATATAATGCATGTAGTCTATAATTTTCATATGATTTAATTAAATCAAATATATCTAATGATGATATATTAGATGGCGGAAAAAAGTTAAAAAAATCCATATATATATATATCAAATCTAGTGTCACATCTTAACCTGATGACAGGGCCGTGTCTTAATGGAGAAAAAATAAACATTTGCTTAGGGCATCAAAATTTGGAGAAAAAATTAAGGGAACAGCTTCGAATTCTCACTTAAGGACACTTCCGTAAATATTGGGCTTTAAAATTCATTGATTTGGCCACATGAGCTTAATTAATTAATTAAAATAAACAAACGATTACTTAAAATAATTAAGGTGTTGACGGTTTCGGTTCGGTTGCATCTGTTAAAATAAGTTTTTCAAATCGTATTTTCGTTCGAGTATATCATAAAGAAAGATTGAGTGGCATGGCTATCTTATCCATCAAGAGATAATTGATTAGAAACGTTGACTTTGAAAGTTCAGTTTACCATTTTGTGGAGAAAATAAAAGAAAAGTGTTTTAGAGCTAATCTTTTGTTTGTCAGTTTAGTTCTTTTATTTGTTTTCGTTTGATGACGATGAATCGATGATGTTTATTTATGTAGACGATTTTTTCTATTGAACCGGGATTTTTTTTTTCGCCGCTTCTGACACTTAGTGTTGGCACGGCTCTGCGTGATGACATAACGTTTATGTATTTATCGAAATATCTATATGCTTCTTTCTTCTTAAGGTGTAATCTGATCCGGTTACACTTCACTTTGTTGTATTTTTCACTTTGAATCATCATTCGTTCTTTCTAACTTATATCATTTCGTATTTTTGAAAAAGATTTAGACCCAAAATTTAAAATATAAGTGTGGAACTTGCATGGATAAGTACCTTAATAATCACAATTATATCGAAGGGATGTTAAAAAGGCTTGATAGCCGGAGGGCTGGCCCATGTTTGCATTTATATTGGCCCGTAATCCTCATGTGGGTTTACAAAGATAAATTAGAAATCTCAGTTATGTAAGTTTTTTGTCCTAACATTAGTGTAATAGCTAAGCAATTTACATACTCACCAAAAAAGTTAAAAGATTTTTTGAACAAAAGAGCATATTGCCTTGATTTAAAAGATCGAGAAACAAATCGAGAGATCTCATTTATATATATACTAGATCATGACCCGCATGTACGTGCGGGGTTTCATATTTTAAAAAATTTCTAACAAATTTTAATTCAGTATAAATTATTTTGTTGTTTCTAACTTTTTATGATATATATTTTAGTGTATTAGATCTGCATCTACGTACGTGTAAAAATATTTTTATAGAAATCGTTATATAGATTTTAAAAATATAAAATATTTTGTTGTGTTAGTGAACTTCGTAATAGTATAAATATTATAAAGTTAGAGTAATGAACAAAATTTAGTTGCGTTAATGCATAATTATATTTTAAGATCCGGACTAATTTAGTTGCAAAAATTAAATGGTGTTACATTTTTATTTTCTTAACTAATCAAAACAGTTCTAATAGTTTGATTACATATGTTAAATAGGATATGAATTCAGTTTTAGTTTGGGTTATTTCATGTATATTAGCTAGGCGTAACTATTTTGGAACATGAAAATATCCCGTCCGGTATCTGTCATAAATTCTTTGTCCCATAACCTGTCACGTATACGTAAAATAAAAATATTATGGTCTCATATCTGTCATAAATAGAGCATGTGTAACTGAAAACGTATGTAAAGGGTTATGTGTGTAAACAAATTTATTTTATATAGTGCTCATAACCCGAACTCATGCCAGTTGGGTATTTAGTTTGATTTTTAATATATGTTTCCCTCCCATCTCGTCTCATAATTTATATTTCCATTTTATTTCATTAAATTTATATTCCAAATTCTTCTTTGCTTACCTTTAAATACCATACAATATTACAATATATATTGTGAATTTTGCGGATTAATATGTATGCTGTTAAAGTTACAAATATATTTTAATAAATTTATTAATGTTTCTAGCTAAATCTTGCATATTTTTCTTTTCATTGTTTAATCATAATTAATTCAATTTTTGGGACAAAAATTAAAATTTGAGATACATCTATAAAAAAGATATGTTATTGCTGCATAATTTGTTTTGAATGCAAAATATATAATTAGTTCACATTATTTCGAAAACTGTGTGTAATATATTATGGATTTGTTTAAGAAAGATCCGGTTGAGAAGAAAAAAAAAAAACACAAAATATTTCGAAATTAATATGTACAATCTTTTGTTTAGATATTTCTGAAACTTGCTCTAAACGAATGTCATAATGATAATTACTTTAAATTTATCATTATTTGAGTTTATTTCATAGTAAATATATATATTTGTTAATATCTAATATCGTTTTTTTAGAAATTTTGAAATAAAATTTTGTTTTATATTTCAAAATTTGTGAAAATATTATAACAAAACTGAGTCTTAAATATTTGTATTTATTTTTTTTTACGAAATTTTAAATTCAAGCTTAAAATCCTCCATTGATAAAACTTTTTAAACGATAGTGTTTTTAATTTTGAATTAAAATGTTATTATTTTTCTTTTTATTTTTTATATAGAATAGTTTATTAGGATTGATTTAGATAAAATTTTAGTTGGATATCAAATCTTAGTTTTTCAATTCTCATTGGTTAACAACTTTTTAGAAAAAAAAATTAAATTTTCGTCCATAATTAATATGAGAGAGAAAGTGAGTTTAATCTTTTGGAAACTAATAATTACTTTAACGACTTTTACTATTTTTTATTTAAATATATTATTTTGTGATTATTATTGTATCTTTAATGAATTTATTTAAAAACAAAAACCAATGGCATTTTTGTAATACTTTACACTTTAGAAGGTTATTTATGTTTGAGTGCTTCCCAATTAATGGTATAGATACCGTTTACGGGTCTTTAAACTATTAACTAATTTTATACTTTATTTGGGTGTATATCTAAATAATTTGTTTACTAAAAGATGAAGTATAAAATTTGATATCTATTTGTTTTGAATTATTTATTAATTCTATTTTTTTATCTGGGTGTGTATTTATTGTGTTACTTAACAATGAAATATAAAATTGCATACATATATTTTTATTTTTCATAGAAAAATATTTACTTCATAACCAAAAAAATTCAGAATATATTGATAAAATCTAAAAGGTAAACATCCTTATATAATATGTACACATTTGCACTTATTATATGTTCTTTAGTTTTGTGTATATCTAAGAAAGTCAACTATTGATTTGTTTCTACTTATCTATATATAAATTTGTTGACTAATTCTATACTTTATGATCCATGACCACCATGTTTAAAAGATGAAGTATAAAATTTGAATATCTCTATGTTTTTAAAATGATTTCTATAGTTGGAAAAAAAAATGAATTCTATATTTATTTGAATACCTATATTTTTTCATAAAGATTTTTTTTTTAATATTGAATTGCAAATCTAGATATTAAGTTTATATAGTTATTTACTATACATGTGTTTTCGTTTAGTGTTTTAATAGTTGTTCCATACAAATAGTCAAAGTCTTATATCATTCGAATCATTTTCTACCAAAATACTTGATGCCAGATTAGATTTTTAGATGTATTGTCCTAAATTAATTTCCTACCAAACTTACTAGACAATAAATATTTGGTCAAATTTCAAGAATTCATTTATAGTCAAAAATTTAAAAAGAATAAATTGGTTCAACGTATATCCTATTTATTTTGGGTAGGAGTTCATTACCTAGACCTATTAGATCTCAACAAAAGTCATTAACAGAGAACATTAAAAGTAAC